TCTGACAACTGTCAGCTGCTTCCACATTGTCTCCGTGGGGCTGCGGGATGTGGCCTTTGGTCAGGTGCAGAAAGTCCAGGCTTTGCAGAATCCCCGCTCTCCTCCCGTGCCTGCTATAAAAGGCCACTCTTTGAACGAGTGCCAGCTTCTTGAATTGCAGTTGTCAGGGAAAAAGCCAAAATCTGCAGAGTGTTTGCTCGTGCAGTATGGATCTTGGAAAGTCTGGCGACTCCCAGGATCTTATGGAAAGTCAGGAGTGACGTGATTCTTTTGAAATTTCTTAATCGATCATCACTGAGTTTTGTCAAAGCAGTTTTTTACGTGGTAAAGAGATGGAAGATTATGTCACTCAGGCAGTGATATCTCTTATTTATCATTTCTTTTCCTCAGGATTAGTCATTTTTTTTCCCTGCTGGCTGACTCAGATTACTCACTAAACAATGAGGAACCTTCCTGTGGAGCCACAGTTTAATTTTAGATCTGTGGATTCTGTGTTTTTCCCTCTCTATTGGATAAATCCAGGATTTGGACTAATTAGAATAACAGCAACTTATTAAAATGTTATATCCCATTCCTGGAAGTGTCCAAGGTTTCATGGGGTTTGGGGCAACCTGGGATAGTGGAAGGGGATGGAATGAGAGGTCTCTCCCAACCCAAACCACTCCATGGTGATCTGATTCCAGTTATTTGTTAATGTATATTCAGACTCAATTATGTTTTTTAAGGAGCTCTTATGACTTCTAAGGTATCTAGCAGGGATAAAAGAATCATTTGTCCTTTCCTTATAAATCTACATTTTTAAGGAGAAGTTACAGTTTATTCTCTTTAAGGTTTGAAAGAATATCACAGGCTTCGTGGTTTTTTTAGAGCTTCAGTTTGAATTCTGAAGATAACTGGCACCACACAGAGATTGTGATTGGCACCACATTAAGTGGCACTGCACAGAGATTGTCACCTTTGAAAGGTGGGAAAGGTTTTCAAAGGTTATCTGATTTTGGACGAGTTTTCAGTGCAGACTGGGGACAAAACTCAGATTCTTTTTTAAATGCCTGCCAGGGCAGTCTTTGGTCTGGGGGAAGAAGATAGGAGGTCACAAAATGTTGATTCCATGTCATTCCAAAGCCACTCCCAAACCCAGCTGAGCTCCAGTTCTCTGCTGCAGAGCCTTCTATCAGCTGTGGCATCAGCTCCTTTATCTTGTTCCTGTTTGCAAGCAGCCAGAGTCACTCTCACATCTCTCTGAGCTCATTTCCTGCTGCTTTCAGCTGAAACTCGTGGCTCCCATCACTCAGTTCCTTTTCCTTTCTGCTTCAGCCCAAACCAGGTTGCAGAGAAAGTGGCCTCCCGGATTGCCGAGGGTTTCACGGACACTGCGCTCATCATGGTAAAGAACTTCCTTCCCCTCACCCCCCTGTGTGTTCTGACCGTGCTGCTGGACCAGGGAAATGCTGTTCTCTGGCTCTTTTCATGAGGAATTCAGTTTCTCTTCCCCTCCAAAATGCTCCAGGGAGGAGATGCAGCGAGCAGTGAATTGCAAAGTAAATTCACAGAAAGACTGTGGTGAGCTGTCTGCCACCTCAGAGGAACTGGAGGCCTTCTCTACATGTTCAGGCAGCAATTTCTGGCTCCAGCCCTCCTCATGCAACTTAAATTCTTATATTTAATGTCACAAACAGGGCTTTGCCTCCTCACTGCTGTGACAAAGGACATTGGCACCTTAAATTTGGCGGTCTGAGGGTAAAACAGTGGATGAGTGTAAAACGCCCTGTGTTTACAAACTGATTTCAGGTTTATTTCATCTCTTGGGATGCTGAGGAGAAGACTGAGGTGGTGTTTGTGTGTTCTACCCCAGGTTGACAACACCAAGTTCACCATGGAGTGTGTGGAGCCTGCCATCCACGTGTACGAGCTGCACGAGAACAAGTGGAGGTGCAAGGACCCACACGTGTGAGTGACAGGAACAGGGGGTGTTTGCACCACTTCATTACTGGTTTGTCTGAAGTTTCTTCTGTTTGCACTCAGAGTCAGGATTAAAAAACACGAAGGAAATTAATTTTCTTGTGTTTGGACTTGGTTGTTTATGAAATCTTATTTAAAGTACAGAGAGTTCTGCAACACTTCTAGCTGAAAGTGAACAAAATGGAGCTGAATCGAGCTGGTTACAAGGGCTCTTAAACAGTACAATAAGAGCTAACAGCTGTATTATTTATGCTTTTGACCCAATAACCAAACTTCCATGACTCTTAGTGCAGCACTAACTGTCCAACCAAAAATTACTGCCTGAAATTATGAAGAAGGAAGAACACTGAAAAGCAGACACCACCCCAAATTCTCCATCTTGTCCCATGCCTATTACTATATTATAAAAACTTAAAATTTAAAACCCTTGTGAGAGCACACACTTCTATTTAACTACACACCCATGATTTTAACTCCATCACTCAAATTTGGAAACCTTCTCCAAGGCCTCAGGTCAAAAGCAGTGTTCTCCAAGGGGTCAGAGCCAGAAAGCACAAAAAGCTCAAAAATCCCAGGTTTGTGGGATCCAACAAGTGAACTGGGAGTTTTAGGGGATTTAGGGAAAACCAGCTCGTCCGTATGAGGACACTGCAGCAGGGCTTAATTTTCCAGAGTTTTTTTGTGATGATTCCAATTGATGCCTGCTTCTTTTCCATCCCAGTGACTTCTGTGAAGATTGGACTGAAGCCCAGCGAATCGCTGCATCCCTCCTGGACAGCAAATCCTACGAGACACTGGTGGATTTTGATAATCACCTGGATGACATCCGCAACGACTGGACAAACCCAGAGATCAACAAAGCTGTGCTGCACCTGTGCTAGGAGGGATCCTCCTGACTAATCCATGGGCATTCCCACTCTGTACTGAAGAGAGAAAAATGCTATTTTTGAATGTAAATAGAATTAATATTCAGTACCTTGTGTGGAAAGCTGACTGATTAAAGAGGAGTGGCCTGTCCCGTGGCAGGGTGCTGTGTCCCTAAAGCCATGGAATGTTGGTGGTGACATTCCCTGGAAGAGCTGCCAGCTGTCCTCGTGGACACCATCCCACTTGTAGTGAATGTTGCTATTCCTTGGAAACCAGAACTGCTTCTGCTTGGCCCCCACTGTTCCTATTCCAAAGTTTTGACTTCAGCTTTTCTAATCTTTAGAGAGGTTACTTTTTAACGATTTCTGGAAATACCTTTCCAAAAAAAAAAAAAAATCAATCCTGTCCTCAGATGAGAGATTTTAAGGGCAAATAGATCAAATGGGAGGTGAAGGGTTTCTTCTGGCCTGGGTTGGAATTGTAACTCTCTTGGCACAGTAAAATGCAATCTGCTGAGGATGTTCCATGCTCATGTGTCACCTGTTTTGCAGTGCTTTAGCATGACAGACCTTTAAAGGAGTATTCCCAAATAATCTGGTGACTCCTGCTCTCTGTGGGCTTGGAAAGCACAGTTACTGCTTGAATGTGTTAAACCCAAAGTAAATGATTTATAAAAAGGACTGGAAGCACACTGCTGAGCTTGAATCCGCAGTTGGAGTCTACAGTAGTGAAACACTTTATTAATTTTGTGCATTTTGGGGGGGGTTAATCAGCAGATCTCATTTTCCACATGATCCAAGTCCATGGAATCAAGGAACCTGGATACAGCCTAGTTCAGCTTGCCTTGTCTTCCCCATTAATATTTATTTCCAAGGAGAAGTTTCCTGGACAATGCAGCTTTATACCAGCCTAGAAGAGCTCTTTGTAAGCCTTTGTTGCCTCACTCCTCGTGGTTGTTTGCCCAGCTGTAGTTAAACACAAGCCCAGCCTGCAACAATTCCTCCATATTTCCTTCTTTTCCTGCCCAGAAATGTTGTTACAAGGAAGATCAAAATATTCACAAAATGTCTGTCTGCCTGTCTCCAATCTTAGTGTTAAAGTCACAGCAAAGTTTGGGTCAGAAGGGACTTAAAGATCATCTCGTTCCATGGGCAGGGACACCTTCCCCATGAGCAGGTTGCTCCAAGCCCCATCCAACCTGGGCTTATTTCAAAATGGAAATGTCAGCACCTTTAAAATTTTGGGTCGATAAGCCCAAGTTTTACTCCTGGTCTTGGAGAGGGATGGGGCAAGGCTAAAATCCTCCTTGCAGCAGGGAATAGACCCTGGATGCCCCCAGGCTGTGGAGTTCCCTCCAGGTGAGATTCCACAGGGCCATGAGGTGAGGTGGAGGGAGGAGAGGAAGCTATGGACACTTTGGTTTTTATCTCCCTGCTGTGCATGGGTGAGGTGTGATTACCAAAGAGATTGGCACCGAGTCAAGAACCTTCCCTAGGCTGAGTCAGGCTTGCAGGAGAGGGAAATGTTTTCACTTGTTGACTGAAAACATGTATTTAGCTCCCAAAAGCAGTGAGATAACACATTCCAGTGGCTGCTCCACTCTACATCTGTAGGAAAAGATACCCTGGGAGCAGAATGCAAAGCACCCGGGCTGCAGGAAGAGGACTTTTGTACAAACACCAGGGAAATCCAAGGCATTGTTCCAGAGGCAGATCGTTATCTCAGCCAGATTCCTCGTGTGGGGTTGTCACAAGGAGCTGCTGTGTCTCCTGAGCCGCGGGAAATGGGAAATGTGTTTCTTGTTCTTTGTAATAGCTTCTCCTAATCAAGCTTTGATCATAAATATGCAAATTCAGGCTAATCCTGCTTCCCCTGTGAGGCAGAGTTTGTCTCCTCAGTGTAACCGGCTGGAATATTCCCTGTGACTAACCTGAGCACGGTGCTGGCAGGGGAGCAGCTTTTAGTGCTTTGTCTTCCCCTTTTCTTTAATCTTCCCTTTGCTTTCAAATGAGGATTTTTTGCCACCAGCAGAAGCCCAGGCTGGCTTTAAGCAAAGAGGACAAACCTGCAGATCTTATCTCCCCTGGCCTATTTGCATTGAAGGCTGGACAAAAGCAGCAATTCCATAAATCCAGGCAGCAGCCGCCTGGCTCTCCTGAAAGAATGAGGAAGCTGCAGGGCTCGGGCATGGCTGTGTTCCCCTTTCCTGCTGATGTGCCCGGAGCAAATGCTGCTTTCCTGGCTGTTTGATCCACTGATCCAGCGCAGGAAATCAAGGTAATTCCTTTTAAAACTTCAGAGGGAGGAAATCTTGGGGAAGGCATCTCTTGCTGGAGCCCTGGTGAGAGCTGGGAAGGCAGCACTGGGAATGTGTGTCCTACTCTTTTTTGGTTTGTTAGCAACCAATTACTTTCAGGATGAACTTTTTTCCTCCCTATCCACCAAAATTTGGAGATTTGGCATTTGCCTGCTCAGATGTTTTAACTCACAACTTTTTACCTCATCCACATGACCTGAAGCACTTGGAAAAAGGAATCCCTGGTTTGAGTGGGAAGGGATCTTAAAATCGTCCCATTCCACCCTGCCATGGCCAAGGTCACCTTCCACTGTCTCAGGGTGCTCCAAGCCCCAGTGTCCAGCCTGGCCTTGGACACTCCCAGGGATCCAGGGGCAGCCACAGCTTCTCTGGGCACCCTGTGCCAGGGCCTCCCTCACAGGGAACAATTCCTGCCCAAAATCCCATCCAATCCTGCCCTCTGGCAGTGGGATGCCATTCCTGTGTCCTGTCCGTCCATCCGTTGTCCCCAGTCCCTCTCCAGCTCTCCCGGAGCCCCTTTAGGCCCTGCAAGGGACTCTGAGCTCTCCCTGGATCCTTCTCTTCCCCATGTGAGCACTCCCAGCTCTCCCAGCCTGTGGGATTCTCTTTTCCCCACTCAGTTTTTCAGAACTGTGGCTAACATCCCTACAAGCAGATGGATGACAGGAGCCATGGAATCCCTGCTCAGCTGTTCCTGGGGCACTCACAAGTGTGGTCCCCGTTCCCAGGGAATGCCAGGCCCCATCTTCTCCCTGAGCTTATCATTCTGTGTGTGCATACGAGGATTTGGGGAAGTTTTTTCCCCATCCAGCAAGCGAAGCTGCTGGCATTTCCCCTCTTCCCATCTGCTCCTGGGATGTTCCCTCCCCGAGGAACGTGAGCAGAGATGTAACAGCCCCAGCTCTTGGAGCTGATGTGGATGCAGGAGCAGGTGAGCAGTTCAGACATCACCTGGCACAGCTGGAGCCAGCAGCAAACAGATGTGCAGAGCCCACCCCAGCCGTGAGGGGCGGCCCCCTGCCCCCAAGAATTCCTTCTGCGAGTGGCAGGCGAGGAGAGGTGACAGTGACAGATGCAGGAAGCAATGCCGGGGCTCTCTGCTCCCTGGCTCCGCGCCTAATCACTGCACTCTGTGATCTGGGAAGCGTCTGGAGATGCCGCTGGAGGAGGGCACTGCCAGGGAGAGCCGGGATAATGCTAATGGAGGAGCTGTTAGCGGGGTGGGCTTGCGGCTGAGTGCAGCCTGGAAAATGGCCTCGAGGGGAAATGTGCTCGATCTGTGAGCTCTGCTTCTCGTTTGGGTGGAATTCAGCTCCTGCAGCCGAGCTGGGGCACCCACACGACCTGGTCTCTATCGGGCTGCTCCCCTCTCACCCTGCCCAGGCTCTGCTATTCCCAGCTGGGCTTCAGCACCTCCGCACATCCCAGTCCTACCCCACAACCCCGTCCTTGCTTCCCCCAGCGCCCTGACCCAGCCCTCCCGCAGCCGGCAGCGCTTTCTGTGTGCCCAAGGATCCTCTGAGGACTTTATCGATTTCCCTTTTGGTTTGTTGTTTGGGTTTTTTTTTCACTGTCGCTTTTAGACCACATTTTCACCCAGCCTTCTCTTCTGAAAGTACACCCCAGCTGCATCCCTTCCATTTGGTTTCCCGTGGAAGGCAGCAGAGGCAGATTTGGAGAGGACGGACACAGGGGGCTGACAGGGGGGACAACGCTCCTGCGTGTGGCACTTCCAGCCTGCCAGAGCTGGGATGAGGGAAGCAGGGAACTCTGCTCTTAAAAACACGCGGTAGGTGGGCTGGGGGTGAGGGGTCACTCGGGGAGTGCTTGCAGGCAGCGCCGCTCCGGCTGCAGCACTTTAGCGAGATGCGGGCAGGATCCGTGCCAGGCATGGCCCATTCTGCGCACAGCCAAGGCCGAGGGAAACAACCCAGCCCTTCCTAGAAATGCACCCTGGAGCTTAAAAGATGGACCTAATTGAAAAACTCTATCGAGGTTGTAGCAGCAGGGGATAAAAGGGAAAGCTGGGCCCAGATTAACCTGGAGCTCAGCGAGCCGGGAAGCGCAGGCAGCCGTGGCCAGGTCCCGGAGCCAATTCCCGGCTGTGGCCTCTCAGGGAGGAGGATGCTCCATGCTGGGAGAGAGGTGCTTTGTTCTGGATGCAGGAGGTCTCTGTGCCTCAGGTACGTGCTCGTTCCCTGCTTCGCTCCCGACCCCCATCTCAGCAGCTCCCTCCTCATCCCGCTGGATTTTCTCCGGGGGTGCTTCCAGCCCACGCGGTTCCTGCCGGTCCTGCCAAGAGCCCGTGCTTGGGGAGTGCTGGAGCTGCTCCAGTTTCCCCGGAGCCTGCATCTTCAGCTGCCTCCTCGTGACATCCTCCTCCCTCCCCACTCCTGGCATCCCCTCCGGGTACCGCTCGCCAGCCCTGGATGACTCTGGAGCTCCGGGAGGGAATTTCTTCTCTTCTCCCAGCGCTGGTTGCCACTTCCAGCTCCTGCAAGCCCCGGGCAGGACCCTGCAGCCCCTTTCTGGGGCAGCTCCAGAGCCAGGCTGGGAGCAGCCCTTTCCCCTGCTCGGGCCAGAAGGGACGGGGGCAGGAGGGGACAGGTGGCCTCGTTGCTGGGTTAGCACGGAGCCAGGGTGACGTGTCACCTGCGTTAGCAGACCCTGGCACTCTGTGACCCAGAAAGCTGCTTCCTCCCCCTCCCTGCTGAAAGGGGAGCCCAGCTGGTGTTTGCAGGAGCAGCTCCTGAAGGGAGCCAGCAGAGCTGCTCCAGGCTCTCCAGCCAAAGCTTTTCTTGTGGCCAGTGTTTGCACAACTCGTCCCTTGTCCCTGCGGTTCCTCTGGCGCCTGGGAAGCATCAGCTCTCCCTGCCCTTTCCCCGAAGGGAATCTGGGAGGCTGCCCTCCATCCTCACCCCCCACCAGGGCTTCAGCCCCGGGGCAGGATGGAGCAGGAGGGTTGGGAAAGCACGGGGAGAGGAGCAGCACAGCTACCAAAGGGACACAGTCAGGACTGGAAACCTGACAGTGACCACCCCAGGGGACAGCCAGGTGCTGGAATCTTCTCCGAGGGAGTGAAGGTGGCTCTGAACCTCCCCCCCCACCCCCCGAGCTCACCCTCCTTCTCCCCTGGCCAGCTGGCTATTGCTGGGCTTTGGCTACTCGCCCTGACGTGATGCTCAGCAAATCACAGCTCAGAGCCTTGTGACAGGAATCACAGGAAGGGATGTGACCCTGCAAAGTGGGTGTTGAGCCCGCTGAGCTGCTCCTGTTCCTGGCACTCAGCTCTCCCTAACCCTGCTCACCCAGCAGTGACCAGGACCCCACACCAGAGGGGCTCCAGGCCACTCCTAATCACCTCAAGGTGGACAACCCCCACTTTTTAAACCTTCACAAAGGTTTTTGCTTTGCTCACCAGCCCCAGGGAGGACAGGAAAGGGTGTTTGACGCTGTGTTTGTGCCTATCAGTTGTCAGCAAAGCAGCTGGAGCTGTGCTGCACCCGCAGAACTAACCACAGGTATTTTAGCAGCCTGGTGTTTATGTTTCCCACCCCTGCTGCAGCAAGACAATCACTTTCTGTCACTGTTGTAGCAACAACTGCTGCTCCAGGCCAGGCTAATTCCAGCCCTTGTGGGTTTGGAGCTGTTTGTTCTCACCCAGCAGCAGCAAACAGGTAGTTTTGGAGACAGGCAGTAAAATAGCTCAAGGGGGAGGTGGGATTTGTTCTGCTCTGACTGGATTTGTGCTTCCAAGGGAGCAATCCCTGGCTCCATGGGATGCTGCATGCTCTGAGTTTGGGATGGGACCTTGAAAGATCAGGTTTGCCAGGCTCTGGTTCAGGACTTGTCTCTAACTCTTAGACTTTGCAGCTGAACGGGGGAAATAAATCCACATAAACCAATTAATTTGTTGTTTTCTGGGGTAAAAAATGGAGCTGTGGGTTGCAAATGTCTCTGCCCAGGACTGTGCCTGTAGCTGGAGCTGAAGCCTTGCCCCTGTGGCACCCTCCCTGCTCCTGGAGCTTTGCAATAACTCAGTTATTTGACAAATCGGAAGAGTCAGATCGGGAAGGAAATCAGCTCTTCCCAGACTTCTGATTTTCATCAGACATGGCAGCACCAAACAGCAGAAAGTGGAGCAAAACCACCGGTTCCATCTCCCTGCTGCCCTTCATGCCCATCCCAGCAGGGCTTGGTGAGGCTGTGATCCCATCGGGGTCCTCCCAAACTCCTGGCATCACTTCTCTCCCGATCCTTGGGTGAAGTTCCCAGCTTTCTTTCCCTTCCATTCCCTCCCTCCCGCAGCCGGGGGGGTGTTTAATGTGCTGCCGGCGTTCCCTGCAGGCCGGCGCCCTGCATTTGAACCGATGCTTTTCAGCTCCGGCTCAAAAGGAGCCGGCGCGGGGCCTCGCCTCTTAATTGCGGAGGAGGGGGAACATGGAAAAGCCTCTGGCTGCTGCTAATGCGGGCGAAGGCGGCTGCTCCGGAGGCACAGCCTTCTCCTGGGCGTCCTCCCAGCGGGGTGGGACCCGACCCGGAGCGCTCATCCTGGGAATGGTGAGGACCCCGCTGCCTCCTGGTGCTCTTCCCGCTGCCAGGCTGGGTTTGGGGCTGGGAAGGGGAAAAGATCCTTCCTGCAAGCTGGTGAAAGGTGGAGGTGCTGCCAGAGGTTGATGTCTGTTGACATCAGGACCTCAGAGATGCTGATGGGTCTTGCCAGAGCTGGGTGTGGACACCCACTGGCCCTTTGCGGGCACTTGGTAGCCCCCAGGCTGCTTGTAGGATTGTTGGATGCCCGGGGGCTTTGCTGGCAGCCCAGGGCACTCCTTCCTCTCTGTCTCTCGGCTCTGGACTGGCTTGTGCAGCGGGGTGAGAGTAAATCAGCGTTTCCTCATCACCCAAGGGCTTTGCTGGCCATGGATGGGGTTGGACTGGGGGCTGGATGGGAGGAGCCGGCGCTCCGCTAACCTGATTAACCAGGTTCCCAACCAACCTCGCCAAACCCAAAGCCGACCGGCTGCCACCTCCTGCCACCCTCCTGCTCAGGGAAACCCCCCTGCCAGGCTCCGGCATACCGGAGCAGCCGGGTGCGGTGGGAGGTGGGATGCGACCGCGGGCATCGCCCCTCCGGGCACCGGGTAAGTGCCACCCCCTCGGAGCTTTGTCCCTTTTGTCCCCTCCTCAGTGCAGCCTCTGAGTGTCCCCCCTGCCCGGGCAGCTCGGTCCCCGCTCCAGTGAGGCCCGCGATGAGTGTCTGGGGGTTTTTGGAGCATGAACTCGTCGGGATGCAAACATTCCTTTGGCCTGATGCTGGCACACGGGAGCGAAGTTGGAGCCCCAGCAGCGAGCACCAGGAATCCCGCTGGGGTGATCCCAGGGGGAATTCTCTACCCAAATTCTGGAGACGGGATCCGGCCCTCAGCCATGGGGAGGGGGCTGCTGAGTCCTGCAAGGGTTTGACCACAGGGGGTGATCCCAGAGGATCAGATCCCAGAGGATCAGATCCCAAGGAGACCCCCTGTGCACGGAGCTGGGTGTCCCCAGCGTGACCCTCCTCTGTCCCTGAGTGGTGTGAGCCACCAGCAGGTGCCAAAATCCACAGGATTTGCCTCAAAACAGATTTATTGATATTTGGGCAGCCTCCAGGAGAGCTACGAAGTGAGGTCTTGCAGAGGACTCCACTCCCCAGCCCTGGGGTGGGTCACAGCTCAGGCTGCACCTGAGGAACTGATAAAAATACAGAATTAAAAGCAGAGAGAGCAAATTTTCGCTTCCCCTTGCTGGCTGCTGCCAACCCACCTCAGGGCTTCTTGGAAAGGCAGAGGTCAGGCAGGGGGAGCAGAGGCTTTCCTTGGCTCTTTGTGTGGCCCAGAGCTTGGAAGAGCCAAAATGAGTCACTGACCCTCATCTCAATAAGCTTTTCCCAGCAGCAGTGGGAGGAGGGATGAAGATTTCCCAGTAAAGTGACTTTTCTTCGCAGAAAACTTTTCAGCATCTTGAAAAAATGATGTCCCGCAGTGGAAATCATCCATCCAGAAGCTCTTGGGGCATCAGGGATGCCCAAGAGGAGCAGGATGATTGAATTCCAGCAGAGCATCCTGGCAGCTGCTCTGGCTCAGCCCGAAGGGGGCAGCTCTGGGAGTTTCCGTGCATGGACTCAGGGTTTTCTCTGCAAGAACCAACCTAAAACCAACCCAATTCCTCCTGCTCACAACCTTCTCATCCAGAAATATTTTCAGCCCAGACTCCAGGAGTGGAGAAGCTGGGATGGGACCCTTCACCCAGCAGTAAGCTCCTTCTCCACCCTCCCAAAAAGTTCTTCCTGAACCCTATCGGGCCAGATTGAGTCACTGAAGTGCCGTGACATCACTGGTGGTTTTGTGAGCGAGCAGCCGCGTTTCCTGTGGTGCCCGGGCTCCTGTAGACACAGACACGCAGGGAGAGATGTGAGCTTTTAGCTCCTGCTCCTTCCTCCCTGCCAGCATCGCTTCCCTCAACCCTCTCCTCTCTTCCCCAGCGCCTGCGGCGAGGGCCGGCGGCGGAGCTGGAGAGCTGGATCCCGCTGAGAGGATGAAAACATGGGGCTCAAGTTCTCCTGCCTGAAAGGTGAGCTTGGGATGGGGCTTTGCGGCGTTGCTGCTCTCTGAAGGCGTCTGAGGGATGGTTGTACCTGGAGGGGATTTAGGTGTGGGCAAGATTGGTGGAGTTTGGGAGTGTGGTGGAATTTCTGAAGTGCTACGGGTGACCTGTTGCACCTGGAGTGGCCCAGAGAGGATTTTCCCAGCTTTTATTTCCCCCAGTCCTGTGTTCGTCCTGCACCCGTTGCTCTGGAGAATCCATGGGTTAAGGGCAGCCTTCAAGAAACCAGGTGGATTTCCTTGGAGGCAGGAAAAGGCTGCTCAGGGACACGTGGATGGGATGCAGGGGTCAGCCCAGAGCCAGGGTCCCAGCTCCTGGCTTTTCCCCAAGCATCCCCCACTGCTCCACCCTCCCCAGGGATACTCCAACAAGGAGCTTCTTCCCCAACTTTAATTTTCTTAATGGATTTAGGCTGGGAATGGCGTCAGGGATGTCTGCACTGGGGCAAAGTGGGAGCTTTTAATGCTGCTGGCCTGGCAGGGCGAAGGCTGGATATGGCATCTCCCATTAGCTCTGCATCCCTCTGACTCCTGGTAATCGTCCTTGGGGTCGTTAGGGATGGGACTTAATGAGGATCCCTCTCTAGGATGCAGGGCTGCCTCTTCCCTGGCTTTCCCCAAGCGTAAATTCTGTGGGATTCTGGTTGTGATGGGCACAGAGTTGGATGCATCACCCAAAAATGAGCTCTGTCCCCTCTCCGCATCAGGGATGTTGGGAGGGAGTGGTTGAGAGGTTTGAGGTCTCACAACTCCCCCTGTCCAACAAGGGATAACTGAAGAGGGGAAGCAAGCAGCAAGGGAATCCCAATCCTGCCCTAAATCCAAGACAGAGCCTCAAAATATTCCCCCGTGCCTCCAGACCCCTCTGATGAGCTTGGAGTCTGGAATAAAAGAAAAGACCCTCCCCCTTTTCCAGCTCCCTTACATAAGGCAGAGCTTTATCCTTAATTAAAAAGAGATTAAAAATATCAGTGTCTGTCCCCTCTGGGCATTTTCCTGCTTGGGAAGAGCTGAAACCTCCCTGGATGCCGCCTGTGCCACACGGGGGCTTTTCTCCTGATTAAAAAAGCAGATTAAAGCGATCTGCTCCCCTCAGGGGGGTGAGCTGGGCAGGTGGTCGGGTGAGGGGGGGATCTACCTATGAAACCCCCCAAAATCCAAGGTGGGTCCAGGGGAGGAGATGTGAGGATGCCGTGGATTCTCCAGCGCCTCGTAAAGACACCGAGGAGGGCGGGGAGCTGGGGGATGCTGTAGCCCCGTGCCTGATCTCCTTTTTATCCCCCCAAATTTCCCCAGGCTTGAAGATGTGTGTGAGCAGCGGGAACGGCAGCGACGGGACCCCGACGGCATCCTCGGGACAGAAGCACCTGCACGTGCCCTCCATCATCGTCACACCTCCCACGCCCACGGGGACCACGCTGTCCCGCGAGGGGCGGCGCGGGGAGGGCCCCTCACCCTGCAGCCAGTGCTGAGCCGGGACATGGGGCACACCCAGCCTGGCAGGACCTGTCCCTGCTCCACCAGGATGGAGCCACAGCCTGCAGGGTGCAGCTCCTAGAGACACACGGAGAGGGTTTGGACGCCAAGGACTGGGGTTTGTGTCTTTTCCTAACAGCGCCGGGGAGGGGGATCCCCCCACGATGAATAAAATCCCTGGGGCTCTGCACCCCCGGTTTGGCTGTGTCGGCACAGAGGGAGTGGGTTGTGCCCCCCAAAATACTCCAGCAGCACCCTCCCAGGAGCCGCCCCCCCAAAAGTGAGGCCCCCACTTCTCCAGTGGGGATTGAAGAATCTCAGCAAACAGCAGCGGGAAAATGAACTCGGCGTCGTCACCCGCATCCCGCCGGATCGGCCGCATCCCGCGAGGGAGACGGGGGCGATGATTCCCGGGGAGCGGCGGCACCCGGAGCCGGCGGGAGAGGCGGGAGTGTGAAAGCAGATGGAAATTTAATTTTTTAATGACAGCAGCAGATGGCAAAAGACACGCGAGGGGAGGCGCAGCGTGGGGGAGACGTTCCTGGAGCGCCCAGCACGTGCCGGCGGCACCGGGGGCTGCTCTGGGAATGGGGGCTTTGGGACCCTCCTCGTGCCACCCATGGTGGGGGTGGGTTGGAGGTCCCAAGGCTTGGCTCCCACCCCAGGGTGGGGTTAACACTCATCCCAAGGGTCGTGGTTACTCCGTGGGTGGTGCCAGGGCTGAGCCCAAGGTGGTTTGGTAGAGGGATTGGGGAGAAGTGGATTTGTCCGGTGAGGGGGAGTTTCCATGGGGACTTGTAAATGGAATGCAGCCCCCAAAAATCATCCAGGAGCCACTTGGCTGAGCTGGGTGTGGGGAGAGGGACGGATGGAGGGAGGGATGGATGGGTGAATGAAGGGAAGGATGGATGAGGTGTGGATGGATGGAGGGGTGGAAAGGTGGATGGAGGCATGGATGGGTGAAGGGATGGCTGGTTGGATGGATGGATGAGTGGATGGATGAGTGGATGGATGGATGGATGGATGGATGGATGGATGGATGGATGGATGGATGGATGGATGGATAGAGGGAGGGGAATGAATGATGGATGGATGGATGGATGGATGGATGGATGGATGGATGGATGGGTGGATGGATGGGAATGAATGATGGATGAATGGACAGATGGATGGATGGATAGGTGGGTGGTTAGATGGAAGCATGGATGAGTGATGGAGGACTGGATAGGTGGATAGATGGATGGGTGGCTGGGTGAATAGCTGAGTGGCTGGATGTGTGGATGGATGGATGGATGGATGGATGGATGGATGGATGTGGATGGATGGGAAACAGAGGAAAAGGACAGGTGAGTGATGACAGGTGCCTGAGCATGGGTGTCTGCATAGGGGCCACTGAACAGACAGCCAGCTGCTGCTGGTCTGTGCATAGGAGGGCGAGTGCTGGGGCCTGGGCACAGCCCAGGGACAGCCATGCACAGCCAGAGTCACCCATCACAGTCAGAGTCACCCATCCCAGCCCGGGTCACCCATCACAGTCAGAGTCACCCATCCCAGCCCCGGGGCGCGTTCCCGCGGGGCGCTGCCTCTCCCGCCCGCCAGGGGGCGGCAGCGTCGGGCGCCACCACTCCCACGGCGCCCCGGCAACAAGTACCGAGCGCTGATTGGCCGAGCGCCCGCGGGGAGCGCCGTGATTGGTCCCGGTGTCCCCATCCGGGCCACCCCCCGCGGAGAGCAGATCAGCCAATCATAGAGGCGTGCGCCACGGCAACAGTGGGGGACAGCCAATCAGCGTGCTCTCCCCGCTCCAGGTCCCGCCTTCTCCCGGAGACCGCGAAAACGCGCGGGGAGGCGGGAGCAGGGCGCGGTGGGCGGGGCCTGGGGGCTGCGCAGCCAATAGGGAGCGAGGGCGCGCGGCCGTTCGGTGCCGGTGCCGTCCCGGTCCGATCCCCGTGCGATCTCGGACTGATCTCGGTCCTATCCCGGTGCGATCCCGAGTCGATCCCGGTGCGATCCGGGTTCCATCCCGCTGTGATCCCGGTGCGATCCCGGTTCGGCCCCCCCCAGGCCCATGGAGCCGGCCGAGGTGGAGTTCCTGGCCGAGAAGGAGCTGGTGACGATCGTGCCCAACTTCAGCCTGGACCGGATTCACCTGATCGGGGTCGGCGGTGCCGGGCTGGGCAGGGACCGGGGCTGGGGCAATGGGGACACGGCTTGGGGTGCCCGAGAACAAGTCTGGGGGGGTTATGGGGCAGGGGAGGGTCTGGGTGGGTCTTAGGGGCGGGGACGGGGGGTTAGGTCTGGGGAATTTGGCTTTAAGGGTTTGGGATTGAGATGCAAGAGCTGGGAGGATTAGGATGGGTCTGGGGTGTTTGGGAACAGGGGGAGGAGATGGGGAAGGTTCGGGATGGATTTGGGGTGATGGGGACGGAGGGATGAAGGGATTCGGGAATGACAGGCAGAGGGGTTGGGAGAAGAGGCAGTGCAGTCCCCCAGGAGGTTTGGGAGGGGGCTGTGCTGTCCCCCACATATTTGGGGGTCTTTGCAACCCTTGAGCCCTGGCTGAGAGTGTCCGGCTGTCTTGGGCATGGCCAGGGAGATGGAATTTGTGGCTGTAACTCCTGTGAAACACCTTGAAATAGAAAATGGCACTGGAAACATTGGTTATTCCTTCTTGAGGGAGATGAGGAAAAATCTGAGAGCAAAAATTCTGGGAAGTGAGAGGAGGAAATGCAGGATCAAATGTTTGACTCAGGTTTTTCCAAATCCTCTGGAAACTCTCAGCACATTAGCAGACAAGTTCTGTGCAGTCCAATCCTTAATTTGTTTTCTAGGGAGATCTGGGTCCCTTCAATCCTGGTTTGCCAGTGGAAGTGCCTGTGTGGTTGGCCATTAATCTGAAGCAGAGGCAGAAGTGTCGGCTCATTCCCCCAGAATGGATGGATGTTGGTGAGGACGGAGGCTCTGACTTCAGCTCTGGCCTTCAGTGGGTGCAGTGGAAGCATGAAATTAAAAATAATCCGTTTTTCAACATTAGTGGGGAGCTTAATTCAAAAACACAAAGCAACTGAGAGAGAAGGATTCCATGTTCCAGCACTGGAATTCTTTATTTACTCTGAGGGTGGTGAGGCTTATTCAGAGGAAGCTTTAGGGACTTTGGGTCACAGAATCCCAGAAATTTTTAGGCTGGAAAAGACCACCAACCTCATCAAGTCCAACTTGTGCCCAACCTTGTCACCAACCCAGAGCACTGAGTACCACATCCAGCCATTGCTTGGACACCTCCAGGGATGGGGACTCCAAACCTCCCTGAGCATCTCCTTCCACTGTTTAATCACCCTTTTAGTCCAGGAATTCCTTCTGAGATCCAACCTGAACCTCCTCTGGAAAAACTTGTGGCTGTTTCCTCTCATCCTGTCACAAATTCCATGGGAAAATCTCTTGGAGGTGTCCATTTCCCTTGTGTGCCTGCCCACAGGAGCCTTTTCCTGCCCTCACATCATTGCTTGGACCCTGAGCTGATCCTACAGAAACAACGTGGGTTTCCCTGGGGAGGGGGAAAACACACCTGGAGCATTTAAAGCCTGGTAAAACCTGAGCACCCCTGGTTGTATTTTAGGAAAACTGGAGGAAATCCGGGATCAGGAACGGAAAGAAGACACCTTCACTCCAATGCCCAGTCCCTACTACATGGAACTCACCAAGCTGCTGCTGAACTAGTGAGTAGGAGCTGAGCTGGGCCATTTTCCACCCCACTTCGTGTGAGCACAGATGATTTTTCAAGCTTTGCTTGGCAGCAGCCCCGGAGGGTGGTGGGTAAAAGGAAGAGTTGAGGGAGGTTTATCCCCTCAGCCTGCCAAGATTTCACAGCAGCACTTCCCTCGTGGTAACTCTGTCTCTCAGGAACTTGGGGATCGCTTGTTCCGTGGCCTCATAATTGGGGCTGTGCCGCTTTATTGAGCAGCAGCTCAGCGTGGAGGCCTGGAGGAGCCACAACACGTTCCATGGCTGCAATCTGTTCAGCAGCCTCCAGCCTCCAGGCTTCTTCCTTGGCTCTCCTTCAGGAGGAAAGCTCCTCTCTCCTCAGCCTGGGAAGCAGGAGGCCGGGGATATTCCGAGCCTGAGCTCCTGCCTGCTGAGGCATTTCACTTGTAAAATGTGCTGGCTGGTATTTGTCTCAGCGAGGGCTCTGCTGACTTTTTAAGCTCTCGATTAAGCAGGGTGGGCATTCCAGCTCTGGCTTTTCCTCTGGAGAGGAGGCTCCTGGCGTGCTGCTCCTTCCCAGCACGCTCCAGCAACCCTGACAGCTCTGTCCGTGCGCATCGATCGCATCTCCCAGCCCCTGATGGCAGCGCTGAATGGCCTTAATGGGGTGATGTGGCACATCCCATCCAGCCCTTCCAGCACCACGAGCCCTGAGCAGGGGATTTCGTAGTGCCTGAGCCCTTGGATTCCCCAGCTGGCCGTGGCTTTGGCCAGGTTTGGGGCCCTCTGTGCGCCTCATACCAGCTGGGCAATTAAAGAGCAGAAGGATTCTAGTAAAAGCCAGCTGCTGCATTGGAGCTGAGCATTCCTGGGGAAGGAAACCGTCCCAGAAATCCCAGCAGGACAAGGAGCAGAGAGGATTTTAATGTGGACTCACAAGTTTTTAGCAAACCGTCCTACGAGGGAGGGGGGATGAGATGGTGACAACACCACTCAGTGACATAACCACACACCCCTCAGGAGCCTGCTGTGAGCCTGCCTTTCCTTTCCCTGTCCCAGTGCCTCTGACAACATCCCCAGGGCGGATGAGATCCGGACGCTGGTGAAGGACACGTGGGACACGCGCATGGCCAAGCTGCGCCTGTCCGCCGACAGCTTCGTGCGCCAGCAGGAGGCTCACGCCAAGGTGTGCCAGCACCTCATCCCGGGAGGGATCCAGCTGCCCCGGGCTGCTGAGGGATGAGGGATGAGCTGCTGGGAAAAGGCTGGCTTAGGGCATGCTTGTCCTGGCTTGTGGGTGCGTCACTGGAGTTGTGGGTTGATCCTCGTGGGGCAGGGGCAGTTCGTTGTGGGAAGCAGAGGAGTCATGGAGTGGTTTGGGTTGGGTTTGGGTCTCATTCTGCTCCCTTCCACACCTTCCACTAGACCAGGCATCTCCAAGCCCCATCCAGCTTGTCCTTGAACACTTCCAGGAATGGGGAGTGCTCCCGAAATGATGCTGGGATGCTTCTCTAGACCAGGGCTGGCAGCTGGGTCAGTCCCTTGGGGTGTCACCGAAGGGAACTGTGGGCTGTGAGCTGCTTCCCGAGTACCTTGTCCTCCCTGATCCTGTTCTTTCCCCTCTTAGCTGGATAATTTAACCCTGATGGAGATCAACACCACCGGGACTTTCCTTACCCAAGCCTTGGATCACATGTACAAGCTCCGGACTAACCTCCAGCCTGGCGAGAGCTCCCAATCCCAGGATTTCTGACAGAGAGCTGGGAAGGAGCTGGAGCAGCTCCCACCTCCCTGCAGGGACCTCCCAACCCTCCAATCTCCCCTCGGGGCCGGATGGGAATTGCTCCAGAGCTGCCTGAGCATCGCCAGAGCCTCGGTGCAGGCGGTGACTCGCTGGGCGGATCTCTCGGGTTGTACTTTCAGCGAGGGAACTTCTGAGGGCAGCACAGGCCACACACTGCCTTGAAAGCCGTAAATTTCGAGGCGGTGCTTCCATGGATTTTCTCAGAGCCTTGGGGGAAAAAAAAAAAAAAAAAAAAAAAAAGAAGAAGATGTGCTGGCAATGAGGTGTCTGCTGGGGAGATCAGCTGGGAAGCAGATCCATCTGCTCTTTGGAGAAGGACAAAAGAAAATGGTTTTCCCTTTCAGATACCAGGCTGTGGGGAAACACCAGAATATCATCCATCTTTATTTTTGTAATTGGGGTTTTAATCTGAAACTTGTCTGTAAAAAAAAAATAGCGATAATAAAAAAAATAACTGCAGCTGAAGAACGGCATCAAATTAATCCTGAGCTGTGTCACAAACAATGCTTGGAAAATCCTGCAGCTCTCCTTTGGCTCTGGCCTCGTTTCCCTGCAGCAAAGTGACAGGCAAGGGCAGGATCCAGGCAGGATCAAGATGGGATCCAGGCAGGATCCAGGGCAGGATCAAGATAGGATTCAGGCAGAATCCAGGGCAGAATCCAGGCAGGATCCAGGCAGGCTCTGGCCGGAGCAGGGCTGTGCTGATGGCAGCTGTAATAATTCCTGGCACCCGAGGCTGCCAGCGCTGCCCTTCCCCGAGCATCTGGGCCAGGCTCCCGCTGCCATCTGTGCCCTGCCTGCCTGGGCCGTGCCCCCAAGGGCTGGCACAGCGGGAAGGATGGCAGGAATGACGGCAGGAGCTGCCGGGAATGCTCGGAGCAGGGCTGGGGATGCTCGGAGCAGGGCTGAGTTCCCAACGGAGAAAGGATTCCTTGCCGTCGTTGTGGAAGAGTTTATTTTGGTTTTTTTTTTTTTTTTGGGATGTTCTCAGGAATTACAGCAATATATTCATAAATACCTAATTACTACATTCAACAAATAATATATTACATTACAATTAATTCCGACAAAGTACACTTTGATCATGTTTAGGGTTGGGTTTTTCTCCTTTTTTGGGTTTTTTTTTGTTTTTTTTCTTTCACAGCATCCAACCTGCTCCCAGCAGGTTCTGCCTTCCTCTCCTTCCTCCTTCCAGGCTCTGGCACAGCTGCTCCAGCAATTCTCCACGGACACAAATGCTCACCACAGCCCCGGGGCGGGGGGAAAATTGGTCCAAAAACCCTGAATGCAGGCTGGTGAGGAGGGAAAGGCAGCACAGGAGAGAGGCTGCATCCCAGCCAGGCTCCTCAGCACGGCGAGGGATAAATTGCCAATGATTTTCCATCCCTGGCTTCTTCCCCCTCCCTCTGCCACGGCACACAGGAAGGGAAAGGAGTGCAGCCACGAGTGAATTTTACTGTGTTAAAATTCCCTTCGAAGCCTGGAGTTGGCAGCGGCGAGGCCAGAGGCTGGCGAGGCAATTGGGGATTTAAAAAAGATTAAACTAATTTCTGTCACAAGGGCATTTTGCTTTTTAATCTTGCCCAGCTTTTTTTTATTTGGTGAAGCCAATGAGAGAGCAGGGAGCGGGGGGGGAGTTAGTGCTTTTCTTTGCCAGTGCAACGAGGGAATTTAAAGCAGGAAGCAGAGGTCACCTTTTCCCAGAGATGTGAGCTGGTCTCGTGGCGAATTAAAAACAATTTCTAATAAATAATTTAAAAATAACAATCAAATAAAAAGGCTCCCCCGGGGGAAGGGAGGCAGGGCATGTGCTGGTTTTTAGCTAAAAATGGCACCAAGCCTGACCCTGGTGGCACCAGGACATCCCTGCCCGCCTGCAGGCACAGCCCCACATGGATTGTCCCCAAAGTGCCACCAAGAGACCCCACAAAACCCCCTCTCCCTGTGCCCAAACTGCCTTAGAGCCCCTCTGATTGTCTTGGTATTTTTTGTGGGGGACAGGGACACCCCAATGCCACCCATCCCTCAACCCTCCACCCTCTCAGCACAATTCCTTGGGATTTTTCCTTTGGCAAGGCTCAGACATCACCCGGCACTGTGACACCCACGACGACCCAGCTGGAGCAGAAAAAGCCCCAGAAAGCAAAGAAAAAGGGTAAAAATAAAAAATAAAAAAAAAAAAATCCACAGGAGGGTGGAAGGGCTCAGCTTCCAGAGGGACTGGTGGTGGGACAGGACCTGCCCCAGTGGAAAAGGGGATTTATTTTTCCTGGGTTTCAATTCTTTTTAAAACATTTCAATATCTTTTCTGGCCCGACCAGCAGCAGTAAAAACACTAAAAAAGCGAGTTAATCCATTTGCCAAAATAAAAACGAAAACAAACTAGAAAGAAAATAAAACAGGGGGGTAGAAGGAGGGGGGGGGAAAAAGGAAAAAAAAAAGCAGAAACATCTTAAAAAAAAGGGCAAGCTTTTTATAACAATAATTAAAGCAATAAAAACATACAAAACTTTGTTGTTTTTTAATATATATACACAGTACAAGGCTGAAACACCTTTTTTTCTTTTTTTCCTCTTTTTTTCCGCCTGTTCAATCCCAAAGCCGGGGTGCCAAAGTGACCCCGCGCGTGTCCCTGCCCCTTCCCCGCCAACCAGGAACAAAAAGGGACCTTCAACCAGTTTATTGACTTTATTTTTTTGATAGCGAAGTGCATTTCCAGGGGAAACCCCGGGCTGGGGGTGCCGTGCTGGGAGCAGGATCCGGCAGCACCCGGCCCCGCGGGGCCCCGCCGGGTTTAGTGTTGTCGTGGAGTCTTTCATTGTCTTTTTT